GTGAGTGAAATGTTTATGAGGGCCCAAAGATGACATCCAATATCATGGAGCTACAGCTGTAGGTGGTTGTTAGCCACCCTCCTTGGGTGCTGGAAAATGGACTCAAGTCCCATTCAAGAGCTACTAATGAACTTTCTCTCCGGTTCCACTCCATGAGTCTTAATGGGCCTCCTTTTAGAACACGTGAGTCTTAGGACATTTCGCTGAAAGATGGAGTGTTTTGTCTCAGAGGACATTCTTCTACAACAGCTAGTACAAATAAAATGTAAAAACTAAGTGTAATAGGAGTTTTCATAACCAAATGTAATGACTAGATACATTCTGTTAATCCTGGAGATATTGGAGAAAATCTTTAGAAAAATGAGCTTCAGTTGAAAAAGTTGGGAAACCTAGAGAGAAGGACCGGGGAAGGGAAAGAGAAAGATGAGTGAGAAAATGAGTAGCAGAGACAGGAAATGAGGAAAAAGAGGAACTTTATTGAAGGAGAAGATGGAGGTGTGAAGATGGAAGGAAAGGAGCAATTAGTAGATCTACAAAACAACTAGTCTGGAATGCAGTGAGTTTGAAAGTATACTTGCAATAAATTTGAAAAAGCCAGATGTGATTATGTACAGAAACGTCTGAAGCTCAGCCTAAAGACCTAGATTGTATCCTTTTGAAAGGGCAGCTGTAATGAGGAGAGCAAAGTCATCAGGTAGAAACCTGCCCTGGTAAGTCTTATATGTGAATCCGCTCCACTTTTTTTTTTTTCGAGACAGGGTTTCTCCGTAGCTTTTTGGTTCCTGTCCTGGCACTTGCTCTTGTAGACCAGGCTGGCCTCGAACTCACAGAGATCCGCCTGCCTCTGCCTTCCGAGTGCTGGGATTAAAGACGTGCGCCACCACCGCCCAGCCTCTGCTCCACTTTTTAAGCCTCAGCCTTTACTACAGGATACTGTATGTTTTCATAAATTCTATACTTTCTAAAAGGTTAGGGTATTGTCAATAACCAAAAGGTTAAGGGTGGCAAGTATTGTTGAGGATGTGAAAAAAAATTCTTCAGCACTAGTATAGCCATTATAGAAAATAGTGTAGGAGATTCTCAAAAATAGAACTGTCCTATGACCCAGCTCTAATGCTACCAAGTATATAACCAAAAGAGATGAAACAAGTTTATTTAATGGTCTCACTGAATGTCTATTGTAGAAGTGTACACAATAATCAAGATATATAATCTACCTATGTCCATCAGATGGTAAATAAATTAAAATATACGTACACAATGAAATTCTTTCTAGGCATAAAAACAAATGAGATTCTGTTCTTTGTGACAACATGGGTAGACCTTAGGAATGGTATGTTAAAGGAATCAGCCGGACGAATGTGTGATAATCTTACTCATAAATCAAAAACTTTTGATCTTGTAGAAGTGTTGTAGTGTTGTGGTTACAAAGGACTAGGGTGATGGCAGAGACGATATTGAGACATTGAAAAAATGACCACAAAATTTTAGTTAGATAGGAGAGAAAAGTTCAAAGATTTATTGAGCAACATGGTAAGTTTAGTTAATATACATATGCAAAAAATTCTAAGTAGATGCTTCATTTAACATCTTAGCAATATATATATATGTATATATATTCAAGTTATTTGTTATATAACTAATAACCATAATTTTATCTTTAAAAGTAATAAAATAAAATGTCTGCTACCCACATAAAAATTTTAAACGAATGAACAGATGGTTTTCTTTCAAGTAAGAAAGTATTATATTTCTTTAGATATTCTTATTGCGAGGCAGAAAATTGCAATGATGTATATAAATAAGCAAAATACTAACATGTATGCCCATTCCTGGAGAAGGTACTTTATATCACGGTATCGATTCACATTTTATTATACATATACCCACAGTTTGAGTCTGAATATGTTAGCAGTTTAGGAAATATATGTTTCTAATTTTACTTTATGAGTGTTATCATTGCATATCTATCCTTTACAATAATAGAGGGCCTTGATAGTAACTACTGGACCATCATGATGCTTCGTTTGTGCTGGGAACTGAGATGTCTCCTCTTCAAAGAATAGCCATGTGTCCTCAGCAGTTTGCATACAAGCAAAGCCACATTCAGCCCACTGAAACATAAGAAGATGATGATATGTATATCTTTTCCTCTTCTTGTGTACTTTCAAAAGCCTGTAGGTCACAAAAAAAAAGAGCAGCCAGAGATCGTGGTCAGTGTATGAAAAAGCAATGACTGGAAGACTTCTCTTATCCCTCAGAGTGTGAACTGAATATTAACCTTAATTCTACAAACCCTCACAGAGTCGGGATGAGCTTTCCTCAGTAATCCAATCCTTGATACTTTCCTCATACAATATTGTGTCAAGATACTTTGGACAAACGTAAATCACCTAAGGCAGCTTAGCCCAGCTTTTAGCCCTAGCCTGCAGTGTCAGTTTGAGAATAAAATGACACAGTGCTTATTAGCCACTGTATCCTAATTCTCTGCTCAGATGAAGACCAGGTGTTTTATAAATAAGAATTTTGTTAACAGTTCTTATTTCTTTCAAGTGTATATTTGACTTATATTCCTTTTGAAACAACCATGTTTGAAAAACAACTTTCACAGTAACCATGAGAGATGTTTCTCAATCATTAATGACTTTAGTTCAGCATCCTTTCTTATACTTACAAATACATAGATAATAAGTGATTCTAAATATATTAGGGAGCACACACGGTTTAGTAGCTTGGTAAATACACGACAATATTAATAGCTGCCTGTCTATTTAAGAACTACTCGAAATACTAGAGTTTTTCCCTAGTGGATCAGCAGTCCAGCCCTCAATAGCTAAAATCTTTAGCTTTTGATGAGTGCACTGAGTTTTGAACTATTCAAAACCACTTAAGATTGGTAAATGAGTGGGCAACAGGGCTGTTGTTCATTTATGCATTGATGGAATAGCCTAATGCTAGTGGTTATTATTACAATAAGTTTTCAGCAACTACACTTAGTTTCTCCAGCAACGTCAACCATCTCTGTTTTGCTTGTCTGAGAAAGTGTATCAAAACAGAAAATTAAATAACTAAATGATACTTAGAGGGGAATGAGTTTCCAAGGTAAATGAGTAGTACAATCTAGCTCAATAGAAGAAATTTTCTTATGAGACACATCTTTGGGGAAAATGTCACCTTGGGTTACTTTTTCATGATATTCTAGTTCCTCATTCTAGCTTCAATGTTATAGATGACGTACATTCAAACAGAAATAAGCCTGCTCAGTTAGTGCAGGGAACTGAAGAAGAGGATGAGATGGGACAGTGTTTATCCAAAAGCTTGTGGAACCAGTTCAATCCCAAGCACCCATGTAAGAAGACAGGCATATTAGTCACTTTTCATCTGATGTAACAAAATAGGCAACTTAAGAAAGGGGTTTATTTTGTCTTATTGAAAAACTAAATCCATAATGGCAGGGAAAGTATAGTATCAGGAGCCTGAAACTGGATGAACACATTTTTATAGATGGTAGATGGATAGATAGAGAGATAGATGATAGAAGATAGAAGATAGAAGATGATAGATAGATAGATAGATAGATAGATAGATAGATAGATAGATAGATAGACAAAAATGTTTGCTAAAATATTTGCACACAGCTTTTGTCCATAGACAACCTAGAAATTTCTCAAAAGAAACAAAAAGTTGTGTGCAAGATTTCAGCAATCATTTTGCTAAAATAATTACTGAATTATTACCAGGAATGTGAAATTCTACCATGTGTCTTTTTGGCTGTGAAACTCTCTTTATAGTTATTTAGATGTTAAGGATCCATCATACTTGCTCTTCCACATTGTTAGTGACCACAGATCAAATGAGGAAATACAAAAGAAACACCAAATATAATCAAAATTTATTGCCTTGAATCAAAGTCTTATCTCCTCCTACATTTACATGAATTTACTGATTATAAGTCCAAAAAGTGCTGGGTTCGTGTGTTGGTGGTAGAGCATTTGTCAGGCCTAAGGCCCTGTCTTTGATCTCTAGCATCAGAATTTAAACAAAAAAATTCCAGAATAGATAAAAGAAGAATCAGTTCATCCTTATCTTCTGTTTGAATTTTCTTCTGCATTCTAAAGATATATAGAGGCTATCCATTTAGGTTTCAAATTTTTTTAACACTAGCATATCATCATCATTGAAAATAAGATAGGGTGTGTCTATTGGGAAGAAACACATCAGTCCTGGGGGAAAATGCACACGCAGCTTTAGAAACAAGGGTGTAAGAGCTGGAATGACAGGGGATTTACTCACACTCTAGGTTTGTGTAATCTTGCCGTAGATGAGGGTGGCTGCACCTGGACAGCCTGTAAGGTGGAGAACAAGCCAGGTGCCTTCCAGTAATTCTGTTGATTTCCAGGAACCACTTCAATGGGGAGTATTCCATATGACTCTCGGTGGCATTTTTTTTTTGGCAGAATTGCTAATCCAGAGTGCCTTTCGGGTTTTGGAATGTCAAAGTAAATTTAGTACTCTATGTATTTATGTATTTATGTTCTTATGTATCTATGTACTTATGTAAATACTCTATGTATTTAGTTGTTAAAAAATCCCGCTCCATCCTGTGCTTCATAAAGTCAATGCAGACTGGGCTAGAGTCCCAGTCTTTTTTAAAGCTTCTGGATATAATTAATAATTATGAATATATTATTTTGGGAGATTACACAATCTTCTGGTATTTATTAGCGGAGAACAATTTAAAATTTTACTCTTCCTAGGATATTACTCTTAAGAAGTGTTAAGATGTAAAAAGGTAGGAAAGTAGTTTACCTACTCACTGCCCTGGGTCAATTGGCTGAGCTAGTGACCAGCAGGTCACAAATGCTAAGCAGATGAGGACCATCTTGCAATTTCATAGTTACCCAAATTCAAAAGAGAAAGTTTTGAGTTGTTTCACATTGATATGGTTGACATGTGTGGGTCAGAAATTAATTCATAAATTTTCTCTGCATTCTTTTAAGAGAAAGAAGCCAGAACATACCATCAGTCCTTTGAGAACACAACAAACATCACTACTTCACAACTTCCTTGAACAGGTAAGATCATATTCTCTTATGGTAAAAGAGTGACCCACTATTGTAAAAAACACTTCACTTCTTTGCTAACCATAAGGGCTTTTTACTTTTAATTAAATGCCAGTTTATTTTTAAGGAATAAATAGCATTTTGAATTTCACAGCTAATAGACTGGGAATTATTAAATATCATTTCACATGTAGCTCTTCAGAGCTGATGGCTTCTGACAGGGGTGGATGTGGGGAAGAACTCCATTTCCTTTAGGGGATGGCCCCTGTGAGTCTGACCATGTCCTTCTGAGAATATGGGCCACACAAATTGGACTTGGTATTTTTCCTTTTCTTTTTCTTCATTTGTTTTGGGGAAAGTCACAAGGGTGGGAGATGGATGTACCTGGGAGAACTGGGAACTAGTCAGGGTGCATGATGTGAAATTTCCAAATAATGAATAAAAACACTATGTTTCTTTTTTAAAAATAACTTCATAGTATTTAGACTGACTAAATGAAAAGATCTTTCTTTGAAATGAGGATTGACCTAAGCCCCTCTTTTCTGCTGTGGCTAACCATAACAATATTTCCTCTGCACTTACCATGTGCTAAGCTTGTTTTCCTGTGACTTTCCGTAAGCTAATGCACTTATTGCATATGTCAGTTCTGTCAGTCGGTACTCTGTGAGGTAGGTAATACATAAGTGATGTCCACTTCACAGATTAGGGGATGGAGGCAAATGGACAGGAGGCAGAGTTCACCAAACTGTGCACGTGGGAGCAGAAGCCAAAAACTACACATAGGAGAAAAAAAAAAAAAAAAAAA